ATAACATCATTGGCCCAGCTATATTCTTTGTATTATTTTGTGCATCTACGATTTTAATGAATTTGTAAAAATCTCATTAATGTGAGTCTAGGAGAATCTTCTGTGTGCTGTTTATTCACTTCCTTCTCTGACTCACCTGTTTTGCAAACCTGTTAATGATTATACAATGTAAGGAGAAACATAAAGCCAGTCCAACATCGTGTGGTGAACTTTTAATAAAGACAATATTTTCAAACATTTGCCTGTTTAAGGCAATTAAACAGGCAAGTATACCCATCATTACAATACATTGCTCTTAAAGTCAGAGCTGTAACCATAGAGGAGGACAAGTCTAAACTGCCAAACAATTAATGGCCTAATGGTTAGATAGTCAGATTTATAACCCAAAGGTCAGAGGTTCGAGTCTCGGTACTGGCAGGGATTGTAGGTGAGGGAGGGAATAACCAGCGCTCTCTTCCAATACCCTCATTTATTCCCTTATGTCTCATATTTATCTTAAAAGTTTTGAAACCCTTTTACTTTTCATTTTATGGATGTAAACATATCAGTCTATGAAAATATCTTTGTGTTCTAAAGAAGAAAGGCAGTCATATGAGTTTGAGATGATACATTTTCATTTTTTGGGTAAACTCTCCCTTTAAATATTGCTCACATGAAACAAAATTTCATATATTGCACTAACCTGCCAAAACCTGCATCAATACATAGATAGAACTGCTATCATCATAATATAAAAATCCTGTAATTCCATGCTTTTTAAATTCACAGATATTTAAGCCAAAGTGATTCAACACTGCAACAGTGAAATTAAACATTGCAGTTAAAACAGTTTTACAAAACTATGCCACTAAATATGAAACATGACTAAACAGTAGCATGTACATGAGGAACACAAACTTTCAAAATATGAAGGATGGTCTTTAAAATAGAAGTGCACCTATCTGCAAAACACTCAAATGTGTATTTTAGTCCTTTTGGAAAGTCAATAATCAGCACATAGAGAAGTCCAAAGAGTACCATTAAAGCAGTGGGAAAGTCAGATGGTCCTCCATTACCACAGTTTCCTCCAGGATGATGCAGAAGTTTAGTCATCTCGTCGTCCTCCATGACTTTAAGGATGCCCAGTTTCACTCCTCTTTATCCAGGGTTCAGGCACAGCAGCAGATTTTGACTGGCCCCGGTGTGTTTCAGCACTACAATTAATTAAGCGTGCTCTCAGTGACACTCAGGATCTGTATAAGGAAATACACAAATGTGAAGGATCAGGTTAATAAAATGCAAATTAATGCACAGACTTTAAAACGTTAGGCATCATACACTTACCGACTCTGTAAATAGTCACAGAAGAAACACTGGCCATCACTAAACAACTGAGGATCACAAACTACAAGAAGTTCCGATCAGCAGAAACATGCGCCTTGTTGCTAGGAGACGCGTGACACATGAAAACAATATGTGTTCTAAAATCGGCTCAAAATATCAAACATGTTTGATCTCCTCCGACTGGATGGAATCAGAGTCTGAAGCTGAAACAATCGTCTGGGACCATCATAAACTACATGTAATGTTTGATAACTTACAAAGAAAATGTAGTGGCGTCTTTTTTCTCTAAATAACCAATATCAACTAAGTTAACTGGGGAAAGTGTGACTTTAAGAAAAAAATAATAGTTTCTTTGGATGAACTTGCAAAGCGCTGTTCACAGAACTCATCTTTTTAAGTTTATGGAAAAAATCTTGGTTTAAGCTGAATAAATGTATTAAACTTAGTTGTACTGACTTTTTCATAGATTTTTGCTGACCCAACACAACAAAACCAGTCATTTAAACTTTTTTCAAGTTGGGGTTTTTACAGTGTACAGAACAATAAACAGAATGATGTGTTTCCCAAAACATATTTGCAAACTGTCTCAAAGGTCACCAGGAAGTAAAGAGCAAACAGGAGGGAGACACCGATAAAAGGAATCAGGAAGAGCTTTCCAGCAATGTTATGAAATCTTTTATGAAAGATCACCTTCACGTTGTATTTGTGTTCAGTTTCCTTGTTCCTTATTTATTGATCCAGAGACTCTTCAGCAGCTGTTTTATTCTTAAGGTCATATCTGACTGTGGTTATATGAGAAGGGTTGGGTTGAATGCCCTTCTCATAAACAGGACATTAATCTTCCTCATAAAGACAATATGTTTAAGATTCTTTAAAAAAAAATAACTCTGCTGGGAAACATTTACTCTCATTACTAAAGCATGGCTGTGTGTATGTGTTTGTATGTATGTGTGAATGCGTGTATATTGGCTTGCTTCCCACAACTGAAAATATGTGACCCTGGAGCACAAAAGCAGTGTTAAGTCGCTGGGGTATATTTGTAGCAATAGCCAACAATACATTGTATGGGTCAAAATGATCGATTTTTCTTTTATGCCAAAAATCATTAGGATATTAAGTAAAGATCATGTTCCATGAAGATATTTTGTAAATTTCCTACCGTAAATATATCAAAACTTAATGTTTGATTAGTAATAAGCATTGCTAAGAACTTCACTTGGACAACTTTAAAGATGATTTTCTCAATATTTTGATTTTTTTTTGCACCCTCAGATTCCAGATTTTCAAATAGTTGTATCTCGACCAAATATTGTCAGATCCTAACAAACCATACGTCAATGGAAATATTATTTATTCAGCTTACAGATGATGTATAAAACTCATTTTCAAAAAATTGACCCTTATGACTGGTTTTGCGGTCCAGGGTCACATACAGTATATCTAGAGGAATGATCAGATTATTATTTTTCAATCCAAGAAGTGGATTCAGAACAAGTCCATCAGGCTCATGTTTTGCCCTGGTCAGAGTCCAGATTTCAACCCTATTAAAAACATTTGGTCTCATTAACATTGAGTGGAACACCACTGACACTCCTTCCTGTAAAAAGCTGTCTGCAAAGTTTATCCACACAGCTTAATCATTTAAAGAAAACAAAGGGAAAGGCTACTCCGTGCTTACTTTTTCTACAGTATTTATGCAATTCTTGCTAAATGGTAAAAGGTGCACCATTAAAATCTAAATGTTTAGACTTTTTTTTTTTTGCTTGGCCTATTATTTATTTATTTATTTATTTGCCCAGGAGTTTATGAGCTGTCAATTTTACGAAATGTTTTTTTTCAGTTTAACGCGTTAAATTTTTTTCCCTGTGTACAGTATGTACATGCCATCAAGCACAATAAGACCCAAAAGAGAAGTTAAGTCGGTACTGGCACCACACTCTGAAGCAGCTCTCTGAGAACACAGGCATCCGACACGTTCACGCGCACTGAACAGATCAGAGTTCTCTTTCGCGGGACAAAAACACAGTTGTGTAAAATGCCAATTTTTTTAACCTCGTAAACACCGTCTAGACGAGTTAAACATCCTAAATGAGAGCTGGGAGTAAAACCAGATGTGTATCAGATCCACGTCATGTGCATCAGAGACAGCGCTGCTTTTAAAGTGAACCCTGCTGCGGTCTGTGTCATTGATGTCAATCAAAGAACAAAAGAAAAGACAGAAATCACTCACTGCTCTTCGCTGGTTAACTTTTAGTGGCTTGAATAAAGATTCATTTAGATTTAATTTATAGTTTATGTGCATATACAATTTATAGTTTATGTGAAGATTGTTATAGCCTATGTTATATTTATCAAAGCCTGTTAAATGGTTAAATGTTGAATGGCTATAATTTATATTTGTATAATTTATATAATTGTTATTATTTTATCATTTATGGGGAAAAGCGTTTAATAGAGACATCAGTAACAGTATTTGTATCAATGATACTGTTCTTCATTAATAATATGCTACTTAGTAAAAAGATGACATTAAACGCATTTAAAATATACCATCTTTCTGTCGTTTCTACATTAATTTGGAGATTCATTGTGAAATTATGAGAATAGAATAATAGATAATAGCTAAGTCTATACTCCAGAAATATTGATGACTTTCAAAAGTACTGTTGGCCAGTGGACAAATTTAACCAGCGCAAACTAGTGCGAGTGTGAAAATATTTTAAATGTTCATTTTCTAAAAGCCCAAAAGTGCCCATATTTAAAGAAACAATTATAAATGTGTTTTTATTTCCCCTGCTGAAAGTGCCTGCCTTTCATCATGTCCACCAGAGGTTAAGAGAGGTCAGAAATTAGTTGGCTGAAAAGCACCGTTGAGTCCCGTCTGACCGTAAACAGGCCTGAGGTTACATGTGTTGTCCACTACACACTTTTAACACACAAACCCGGATGTTAGCCAACACAATCAGCTGGCTGAATCTGCTGCATTATTTCAAATGGGGAATTCAATGTCATTCCAGATTAAAGAATTTATGGACAACACTAAATTACAAAATAACAGACTTATTATATATTGTGACTAAAACAAGCACTTAGAAGGAGGAACAAACTTCTAGTTAAATCTGATTATAGTGACACATTGGTGGTAAAAAAAAACAAGAAAGAAGGAAATGGTCCAAAAATAGCATTATAGCACAATCTTCTCAGCAAATGTATCATCAACAATGACTCATTTTACTCAGTACCATTAAATAGGAAAGTGAAAGCTTCATCTATTAAAGGACTAGTTCACCCAAAAATAAAATTGGCTGAACATGTCCTCATCCTCAGACTATCCAAGATGTAGATGAGTGTATTTCTTCATGGGAACAGATCTGAAAAATGTAGCATTCCATCACTGTCTCAGCAATGGATGCTCTGCAGTGAATGGGTGCCGTCAGAATGAGAGTCCAAACAGCTGATAAAAACCTCACAATAATCCACAAGTAATCCCCAACACTCCAGTCCATCAGTTAATGTCTTGAGAAGCCAAAAGCTGCGTGTTTGTAGGAAACAAATCCATCAAGACAGTTTTAACTTGCTTTGACATTGCGTCTAGCCAAAATACAAGTTATCTGTCCATAATATTGCTTTTCTCATTTGAATCAGGAAAACATTCCACAAGAAAATGCCATTTCAGTTTTTCTACTTCAAAATTTCACATTTAAGACAATGTGTTGCTCGCAGTTTCTTTGTTATTATCACTAGTGATTTCTGAGCGCATTTTTTTGTGTGTCTGCAGTAATAAGGCTTAATAGCTGGGATCTCATTTCTCTTTTCCTGTACTTGGTCTTTGAAAAATACTACTGAATTCAAGTATTGCGAAATGGTTTGATCTCCTGCCAGATGACTCTGCTTTATCAAAAGTCAGATTATAAAAAATTCCCAAGAAACAAAAGGTAGATCCATCATCCGGCATTGCTGAATTTGCAAGATGAAATTGCAAAACCATAGTCTGTGCAAATATGAAATGTATTCGATTTCATGATCCAGACTTTTCTGGTTTCTGAATAAGTTGTAATACTGTCCTGACGTTTTTCTCCAGAGCTGGACATTTTCCAGGATGTGATGTGACTAACACCCGGCACGTCTGCCGCTCTGTTAGAAACCATTCGAGTGTTTCATCCAGGTCCTTGTTTCCCTCTTGATATCCATCCAGGATGAGCAAACAGTCCGTCGAGCCCAGAAGAGTCTCTCTGAGCTCAGACACGTCTAGTGGTTTTTCGTAAGAAACGCTGGACTTTATCACCTGGAAAAAGTCTCCTTTCGCTCGGGTACAATCCACCTGGAAAACCAGATGGAGCCGGCGGATGTTGAAGGGGTCTGTTGTGGTCCTCTCAGCCCAGCAGGACGACAGGATTTGGGCCACGCTGGTTTTCCCGCAGCCTGGTTCTCCAAGCAGAAGGATCATTTCTTTCTTATCAGGCAGGATAGAGCTGATGTTTAGAGATCGGCCTTCTCTGGAATCGAGAGGGAGAGTTCATGTGGTTTAACAAGGAAATCAATGGGCAATGTGTGTTATTGTGGTTAGTTAATCAGCTGTGTTTTTCAGCAGTTCACTGGAAACAGTTATGGCTTACTCACTTTCCTATATATATATATATATATACATATAAAGGAAATGTGCTCGCTCTCTCTCTCTATATATATACTGTATATATATATATATATACTGTATATATAGCACATGAATTTAAAAATGAATAAAAATATATAAATAGTGAGTCTATGATAAAATAATAAGTAAAGCAATAAAGAAAAGAAAATGCACAGAATACACTGGTTTGGCATCCATTTATCAGTTCAGAATTATTTAGAACAATCAATATACTGTCATCAATAATTCCTTTAATTTCTTAATGGATGTCTCATGAAAACACTAACACTGTTCACAATGCAAAAAAAATATTTTTTTGTCTTGTTTTTATTAGAATATTTTTATTAGAATGTCTATAAATTAAGAAAAAATGTTAAATGAATATAAATTTACTTAAGAAAGAATGTGACTTAAGGGGTGCGAAAAATAATCTTGTTTTCTCCTTGAATTAAATTAATTTGTCTTTCCCGACCGAGAGACATTTTTCTTGTTTAATTTTGATCCTTTTTCTCCTTAAATCTCAAGTAATTGTGTCTTGATTTAGGGATGTTAAGATATTTGTACTGGAAAATGACAAAAATACTTAGAAAGAAAATCATTTTCTGCATTGCAAGCTCATCAATCCGAGTGACATTGATTTTTACTGACAGTAATCAGTCTGTTTTTATGGAAGTTTCCTGTCGTGTGTGTGTGTGTGTGTGTGTGTGTGTGAGATTCAACATCAAACATACTCTTTTGTGTCAGAAAGTGTTTGTGTCAGATTCATAATTCCCTCATATCAATCACTTACTTGCTGAGAAGTGCATATGAAGCAAGTCTGCTTTTCATCTCAGTGTTTGTGTCGAGCTCTGAATACTCCCGTATAAGCACGCTCCTCAGAGATAGAGGTTTTTCCGCAGTTTCTGCACAAATGAAGGACAAACAGAGTCACAAGAGCAGCAACATGCAGGACTTTTTCCAGTTGACTAATGCTCACGTTAACTGAATTTATAACAGGCTTCAGTGATTCACGATCACATGAAACCTCCAGATGTGCTTCAGATTCTGCTATAGACACTCTTTTTATTTGCGGTTCAGGAAACGAGACAGATTACAGTACATTACAGTGCTGTTGCATTCTGGGTTAAAGGCCTCAAGGGTAATAGTCATATTTACAGTTTCTATTGAACTCCACATAAATCACTGAATCATTAACTCTGCATTGTTATTATTTCAGAACATGCTTTACCTTCTGAGCTTATGTCACATGTTTGCGGCGTGTTCTCGGTCACAGTCAGTAAAGCTGTGAATGAAAGAGAAATATGATCAATAAATGTAATGGATGTAAGTTTATTGTGTTGAGGTCAGGGTTATCGTTAACTAAAACTAACACAAAACCAGAAAAATTAATGTTTTAGTTACTTGGAATATAGTTACGTAACTGAAATAAAACAGCATCTATAAAAACTTGAACTTTGTTTTTTTTTCAGCTAGTTGCCAAGGCAACATTTCTCATTTTTTATTTAGTATAACTTGCTGTACAGACCTACCTAAAACTGAAATAAAAACTAATAAAAACTATAGAGACCAAAAAAAAAATTTCAAATTCAATTCAAAGAATATTGCAGGTTCAAATACATAAATAAATAAATAAATAAATAAATAAATGCGTGTATATCACGCTAAATATAAGTCTTTAACAGTTTAAATAAATGAATATATATATATATATATAGTGGGTACGGAAAGTATTCAGACCCCCTTAAATCTTTCACTCTTTGTTATATTGCAGCCATTTGCTAAAATCATTTAAGTAAATTTTTTCCCTCAATGTACACACAGCACCCCATATTGACAGAAAAACACAGAATTGTTGACATTTTTGCAGATTTATTAAAAAAGAAAAACTGAAATATCACATGGTCCTAAGTATTCAGACCCTTTGCTGTGACACTCATATATTTAACTCAGGTGCTAATTTATTTATATGAAGATAGCATATTTAAGCCAAATTGACATTTTATATATTCTTGATGCATGCTTTTAATACACATATATATATATATATATATTTACAGTGCCTCTCCAGTAACGTTTTGTTGACGTCCGTTTCATAAAAAGCATAAACAGTTCCTGTGCTGAAAATTATGTCAATTTGAAAAACTCACAATCAGTGGTGGCAGAAGATGAGTGTGGAAACAGGAAAGCACATTTAGATGATTCATTTCGTCTGTTTTTCTGACCTGGGAATAGATAAATATAGAGGTGATAGAGATAGAGGTCACGTACACATTTGTTATCATAATTTATTGGAATTCACCCATGGTTGCACATAAAAAGAAGATATGAAACAGCATTTTTGCATAGTAATGATTTTATAATCGGATCATCAGCTGTTGACAGACACTAAAAGCCTCTTCTAAGCATTCAGCGCATGGACTCATGCAATGGACAAACGATTTTTCCATCGCCAGGATGGAAATTGAGTTTAATACATCATCTGAAAGCTGAATAAATAAGCTTTCCATTGATGTATGGTTATTGTTATGATAGGACAATATTTGGCCGAGATACAACTATATATGAAAATCTGGAATCTGAGGGTGCAAAAAAAATCTAAATATTGAGAAAATCATCTTTAAAGTTGTCCAAATGAAGTTCTTTAGCAATGCATATTATTAATCAAAAATTAAGTTTTGATATATTTACGGTAGGAAATTTACAAAATATCTTCATGGAACATGATCTTTACTTAATATCCTAATGATTTTTGGCATAAAAGAAAAATCTATAATTTTGACTCATACAATGTATTTTTGCCTATTGCTACAAATATACCCCAGCGACTTAACACTGCTTTTGTGCTCCAGGGTCACATATGTTTTGTCAGGAAACCTAAAAAAGTACTTAATCTTAAAGGTCAGATAACGTATAAAGCTTACTGTAAAAACAGCATGTTCAGTGTACATGATGCCAGTGTCTGAGCAGATTTCATATCTAAAAAAACTAAAGCCTTTTCAATGAATGTTTGCGGTATTTACCTGTGACAAAACCTGGTTCTTTTTCCTGCAGATACTGAAGATTAACAAACAGGAATCTGTGTTTCCACGCGGTTTGTATCGTCACGTGCCGCTGCTGACCCACTAAACCGCTGTCTAATCAATCATGGCCTGTTCTGGAAGCTTATTTATCACAATTTAGTTTCATAATGCCACAGCGACAGAAGTTCAAATCTGTGCATGTGCAAGATAACTAATAGCTTTTTATGAATTTTTAAGCTCAAGCCTTTTCAAAAGTGCCTGGTCACACAGCATGTGAATGACTAATGAGGTTTTCACCTGTGTCAGCTGACAAATTCCAGTTTCTATTTCCTGCAGATACTGAATAAACTGGGGATTCCTTCTTTACAAACTGTTCAATATCATATGATGCTGACTCACACGACTACTCTCTAAAATAAACAACAAATCAATCAAGCACATCTACACTGGTTACACCTAAAACCAGCTCACCATATCTGATTGAGACACCATATGAATCGACACAAACAGTAAACAAGTAACAGAATCATCTGGAATATTAAAGATGTAATGTAATGTCATGTTACTATGTTAAATACCAGGGGATTGACACATTTGCATGGTACTCCAAGGTACTTCAAATAATACAATGCTTGAATTTTTTTTATTACCATTGTATATGTCAAAAGAAAAAGAAACTAGCTATATAATGGTACATTTTAAATAAAGGTACAATGTAAATTACCATTTCTTCTCCTACGCAGAATGACAGCGATGAAGGCAATGGCTAAAAGCACAACGACCATGGCGACAATCCACACGTATTGAGCACAACAGTGAGGAAGGATGTCATCTGTAAAGAGAGAAAAATGATGCCGTTAAATATCGGTCACTTAAAATATGCACATAATGTCTTTTCCTGTAGAACAGAAGTTTGCTTTGGTTGCTTTGGATAAAAGCATTTGCTAAATGAATAAATGCAAATGTAATGTAAATATAATTATATATACTGTTTAATATATAAGCTATTTTACAGCAACTTCGAACCAGTGTTATTTTAGTATCACTGATATTCTTTTAAAGTTTGCTAATATTTTGAATGTGATTTTATTTTAATATTAAATATTATTTAATATTTAACTTTTTAATTTTAAAGTTTTAGTAATTTTGTCATTTTTATTATTTTTTTAAAAATATATCTATACAGTTTTGAAGCTTTATGTTTTTGTTTATTTATTATTTGTTATTTTAGTGCGTCCACGTACACTAAATGGAAATGAGAAATGTTGCCTTTGAAACTAGCTGAAATAAAATATTATTATTTTTTTATTTCCGTTAATGTTTATTTTAATTAATAAATTTTTTATGGGATTATTTTTAGTTGACATTAATAACCCTTCTTCAAACATGTCTAATTCAATCAGATATTAGAGCTGTGAAACAAACAAAAATGTATTTAAAGCTAATAGCAGTACTACTCTATCGATACTTATAAACACCATGAACCTGACATATTGTGCATTTCTATTACGTAACAGAAAACATTTCCTTAGACATTGAAAGATGCTTACTTGCTTTAGGGTGAAACATATGAATACAACTATCTGCATCATTATGAGACTAATGGCTGCTGGAAAAAACTGCAACAAAAGCATTCCTCCGCATTTATTTGAAACTGATCTGTTTTCCTTTTGTGCATGTCTTCACCTACATATTTCATATCACATGCCCCCACATCCGGGGCAAACCATCAAAGAAAATCTGTCTCACAGAAACCATATGCAAGGGAAAACAAGGGAAACTTTCAAATCTGTAGGCTGATACTACAGAGATGAACTGATAGAACTTTAAGTGCTACATACATTCAGAAAAAAACATTTAGGTTTAAGACTAGTTGTTCATCCACTTGAAAAACACAGTTTTGGGTTATATACCATCAGCAATGGATGCTCTGCAGTGAATGGGTGCCGTCAGAATGAGAGTCCAAACAGCTGATAAAAACCTCACAATAATCCACAAGTAATTCATACCTCTCCAGTCCATCAGTTAATGTCTGGAGAAGACAAAAGCTGTGTGTTTGTAAGAAACAATTCATTAAGACATTTTAATTTCAAACAGTTGCTTCCAGCTAACACACGAGTCCATAATACATAATAACACTTCCTCCAGTGATTTCCTGTTGTCTCTTACATCACGATCAACACACGTATTTGTTTAGAGCGGTTTTCTCTTGTAAACAGTGCTTGATCTGTGCAGATTTCTCAACTGATTCAGATGGGACAACCTTTTCACTGGAAACATCAATATTATGGATAGAGAACTTGCATTTTACCCAGAAGCAATGGTTTGACGTTAAAACATCTTAATGATGGATTTGTTTCTTACAAAAATGCAGATCTTGGCTTCACACGTTGTTGATGGACTGGAGTGGTGTGGATTACTGTGATGTTTTTATCAGCTGTTTGGACTCTCATTCTGACGGCACCCATTCACTGCAGAGGATCCGTTGGTGAGCAAGTGATGCAATGCTACATTTCTCCAAATCTGTTCTGATACTAGTTAACAAAGCTTTCCGACATCAGTGAGACTCACCTGGGATGCTAAAGGTGGCCGCCTGCCGGATTTCACCCTTCACGAGGAAAGAGCAGGTGTAGTTATTGACGAGGTCTCGTTTCACCGTCAGCTTGCTGATGATGTGGATGAGATCTTCATCTGTAGAGCGTGTGGTGCTGTTGGACATCTCTGTGAGGTTTGTGTTCTGACCATCGCTCCAGATAACCTGAGCTGACGGGAATCCCCGAGACTCACAGGAGAGCTCGACCTCATCCTGACCCGTCTTCATCATGCTTTTCTTTACGGGAGTATAAGGAGCTGGAAACCATAAACAAGATATATAGCTAAACTCACACCTAAGACACTCTGGTTCAAGTTTTAGAAAAAGTAGATATATTTGGAATACCATTTTCAGTATTATTTCTATAGTATGCAATATGCAAATTTCCTGTATTCATTGAACTCAAACCCAACCTGGATGACCTACCACTGTATCCATGATTTTTATCTTTTGCTTCTTGATTAATAATTTGATTAGCAATCGTTTAGACATTTCTACACAAAATGTTATTAAAAAGGCACAATAATGTTTATATTTGTAAGTTGCAACTCAATGAATATTGTGTATATTACAAGGGTTTCTACAATTAAATTTGCAACTATAGTAACTAAAAAAAAAGGCTTCTTACAAAACATCACATATTTACATTTGTTACACTGCTTGAATAATAATTTAGTGTGGGTTTTACGCTGAAAAAAAAATTCTGGAGTGAAACAATTTCCAGTCAGGAAATTTTTACAAATAATTAAATAATGAATTAAAGGTAAAAATTGTTTACTTTTTAACAATGCAATAAAACAAGGGACCCAAAATGTATTTCTAAAAAAATATTATGGACAATATGAATGTATTTACACAGTAAATTTATTTTGAAAAAAAATATGAGTAAAGTATATTTATTGAAAATACATTTATAACATTATTTAATATCGTTACACTCTAAAAAATGCTGGGTTGTTTCAACCCAACTTTGGGTCAAACATGGACTAACCCAACTGTTGGGTTAAATTTTTACATTACATTTTTAACCCAAAAGTTGGGTTAGTCCATGTTTGACCCAAAGTTGGGTGAGTGTATATTTAAAGTTATATTTACATTTTAACAGTGCATTTTGGCTGAAACTATGATTACCATGGTTCACTTTCTAAGAGTCACTGTATGAATTACTTATTCAAACCTGGAAGTGAAATGATCAAAGGACTTTTTTATTGCTCAAATGTTGCTCTTTCACAGCTCACGAGACTTAATGAGTTCTCGGTTATGTTTTATGTATTAAATTCGTCTCAAATTAGTCACTATTCATCATCCAGTAAGAATCTAGAGCTTTAAAATTAATGTAGAGAGCAGTTCAGATCATGATGTTCAGATCATCAGTTTGAGACAACACTGAGATCTATTCTCAAACTCTAAAGCAGTTGAAAGATCATTTGCTCCATTTAGTCTAATTAATGTCTAGGATAAACTACTGATTAGCAGTTTCTAGCTTCATCTTTTATAATCTAGAACAGAAAACAGACAGATACGTGTGATGTATATCAGTCATACCTGATGCTGAGACGACAGGCCACAGCAGAGCCTGAAATACGACGACCAGCGTCCCCCTCATTGACCCCTGCAGGTAAACACAACACATCAATCTGATATCACATAAATCCTCCTGATCTCAAGCCCAAACTGAGCCAGTTAGGAAGTGTTTGTATGTGTTTCGGCTGATAGTCTGGTCACTGATGTCATGACCACAATGATTCAGCAGTGAAGTACTTCTTGATTTACAAATGCCACCAAACCAAAAAAAAATAAAAAATGTATAACAGTTACGAATGCTGTTTAATGGCTCAGATCTGGGGCATCATTGCAGATGATTCATGAACTGATTCACACGAGGGAGAAAACCTAAAGAGCCCCAGGTTAAAAAAAATCACACAGGCAGAGAAATAAATCAACGGTTCTTTCTCAGGAAGGTCCATCTCTTTCTAAATGATGCTCATCCTATTAATCTTACTCATACTCCCCACTGATATAATAACCAACAGCAATTTCCATAAGAGACATTATAACAGTAACGCTCTGACGTATATGTTAAGTACAGGAAATGTTCATAATGTAATGTGTATCATAATGAGTGTAATGAGTGATATCTCACACACACTTCATAAAGTTTAGCATGTTGTTCAATAGTTACTGTCAGTCAAAAGTTTGGATCTTTAACTTAATTCATCTAAATGCTTCTGTACGAGATGCATGAATTTAGTAGACAAATATAAATTGACAAATTATAATAATTATAAGTTAGATAAATTACAAGTTTCTATACAGCGCTAAAAATTTAATAATTTTTGAGTAGTACAATGCGGACTGCAAGTGTGGATCATAAAAAGGCATTTATCTCTTCATCCAATCAGTCAATCTGAGACTGGGAGGGATGATATTATCAGAAACTCTTCACTTGATTTCCAACACTGCAGGAGCAGGAAACTAGTGACTTTGAAGCTGATTTCCCCAGGTTACTATAGTTCACCTCACAGGAAAAAAATCGAGGGAGTTATTGATGTAAAAAAAACCACCCACATTCTCACATTAACCCACTTACAGAAAAATAGCATACCTTTGGGCAACCCGGGGTTAAGTGGTTGGCAAGCAAACCTCATGTACTCCAGTAAGTCCCCTTTCATTTGTTTTGGGTTTCAACCAACAACCTCTGATATATCAGCCCTAATCTACCACAAATGTGTTAATTCCAGTTAAGAACACAGATTATTTATTTTAGCCTGAATGAGGAAATTCATACTTACTCATATTTCAGAAACAAGGCACAAAGCTGTCACTGAGGCATTACCCTTAAGATACAAAAGCTAAAAGATATAACTTTGTATCTTATTACCCCTTAATATTAAAGGTACATAGTACTTTAAAGTACATATTATTACCTTTTGAAAGGGTACTGCCCCAGTGACAGTTTTGTACCTTTTTTCTGAGAGTGCAGATCTGAACTAGAAGTATAAACCACCCAACTAATACTCTGTAGGTTACTGTACAGTATGTCTGTATATCTGAACAGCATATAGGGTCATTAAATATCTACATAGTGACATTTAAATAGAATATGGCACTGCCCATTACAAAACAATTGTGGTACTCCAAGGTACTGCAAGTGCAAAGACTGTCAAAAAACATGGTTTTACCATGGTCCATGGCACATTTTAAAATAATAATATGAATGAATGAATACATTTAATTTGAAATACTATCTCACTAACTAAATAAATTGTTACTGTGGTACAACATCTAATGCCATGGTGCATCTAACATCTAATGTAAGTGGCATCTTGCTATCTGACAACAAAGAAATCAGCCCTTATATATAAAAGAACAGGGAAAAACTGACTGAATTTCGGCTTTCTGAACCTCCAGATACAGCATAACTAAAAATGAATAAATAAATAAATACATAAAAAATATTCACTAGAAAGTTCCATTACTGTTAACATCTATGACATTTCACACTTCACTTTCACACATCAGAGACCAACATTTCTCTGCACAAAAACGGCATCTTTTTAAAGTGCATCATATTGCAAAAATACATCAAAGTATGCAGCAAACACAGGATGTTAAACCTGGGTGTTATCACACACTGTCAACAGCAGCAACCAAGCTGAAAACATACAGCTTTAAAATGACAAAAACAAACAGTGAAAATCATGATTAATTCTTTTGCTCTATACCTACTAGTAAAGCTCAGCTTCTACACGATATGTTAACTTACTTACTGATGACAGTCGCACATGAGCAGGTGCCTGTTACTGTAACCTGTGGATGTTTGTTTTGACTCTGCGCGAGAGGATCAGCTGTAACACGCTTTTCAAGAGTGAGCTCGCTGCTGATTGGCTGCCTGCCAATGACGACTCGGAGAAGCCCTCAAGAAAAGCTAGTCTCACGAAAGAAAATCCGTTTAGTTTCGCTTGGCATTCACGGATACCGAGAACTTAATGACAGCACCGTTAAATCACTCAATCCGGGAAACCCTCACTGGAATCAACAAGTCAGATGACACAAGGAAGTCTCGTTCCGGTGCCAATCAAACCTACAAAACGGAATTTAAGGATAAATCGGCGAATTTATCGATAAACTCTGGACCTCTGAGAAAGAAGCGCTATTAGTGATGCGACAGCACAGGAGATCTTACACAAGTTACATTATAGACAGATAGATAGACAGATAGATAGACAGATAGATAGATAGATAGATAGCTAGATAGATAGATAGATAGATGGATAGATAGATAGATAGATAGATCGATAGATAGATAGATAGATAGATCGATAGATAGATAGATAGATAGATCGATAGATAGATAGATAGATAGATCGATAGATAGATAGATAGATAGATCGATAGATAGATAGATAGATAGATCGATAGATAGATAGATAGATAGATCGATAGATAGATAGATAGATAGATCGATAGATAGATAGATAGATAGATCGATAGATAGATAGATAGATAGATCGATAGATAGATAGATAGATAGATCGATAGATAGATAGATAGATAGATCGATAGATAGATAGATAGATAGATCGATAGATAGATAGATAGATAGATCGATAGATAGATAGATAGATAGATCGATAGATAGATAGATAGATAGATCGATAGATAGATAGATAGATAGATCGATAGATAGATAGATAGATAGATCGATAGATAGATAGATAGATAGATCGATAGATAGATAGATAGATAGATCGATAGATAGATAGATAGATAGATCGATAGATAGATAGATAGATAGATCGATAGATAGATAGATAGATAGATCGATAGATAGATAGATAGATAGATCGATAGATAGATAGATAGATAGATCGATAGATAGATAGATAGATAGATCGATAGATAGATAGATAGATAGATCGATAGATAGATAGATAGATAGATCGATAGATAGATAGATAGATAGATCGATAGATAGATAGATAGATAGATCGATAGATAGATAGATAGATAGATCGATAGATAGATAGATAGATAGATCGATAGATAGATAGATAGATAGATCGATAGATAGATAGATAGATAGATCGATAGATAGATAGATAGATAGATCGATAGATAGATAGATAGATAGATCGATAGATAGATAGATAGATAGATCGATAGATAGATAGATAGATAGATCGATAGATAGATAGATAGATAGATCGATAGATAGATAGATAGATAGATCGATA